AGCGCCGAAACCGAAACGTTATTTTTAAGAATAGTGACGTCAGCGTCACAACTAATTTCATCGGAGTTCATAATTAATTTAAATTAGTAATAGCCACAACAATCGAACAATTTTATTTATTTTCACAAAACATGAAAGCAACCATTTATCTACACAACTTTAAACAATGGAAAATCACAACACTTATTATGGCTAATAATCATTATAACTGAAATACAGAATACTTAACTTAAGAATTGAGGTGTGTACACCGGTCCAAGGCTGGAGCGAAAGTGCCAAACCTTTTTCTTAGTTCTTACAAAGCCCACGACTTAAGACGACTAGCGCCCTCTGGCGCTATCTCTTAATGTCACGGAAGTTGTGGATTTTGTAAATACTTTACAAAACAATCGGACACGGTGTATTTGCATGTTCTTTACACGATTAATAATTATTTAAGTAATGAGAATTATAACAATGTTAATTGTTTTTCGAAACGACACATTTAGTTAAGCGGATTTTTACAATTTTAAAAATAAACTTGCAAGAACATTTTATAATTTATTAAAAAGATTACTCTTGGTGAAAATTAGTCATTTAAATCATAAGTTTTTATTACATTGATAATTATTTATTTGGAATAAGGTTATAAGAATAACTTTATCATTTAAAAAGTGAGCGAAGTTCCGACTCACTTTTTAATTACAAGAAACGTTGAAATGATTATTTTATAAGCAAAACTAATTATTTATCAGATAAACAAAAATGATTGAAAGAGAATACAATTTAAAATTATTATTATAATATTTTATGAAATTAATAAAACGATGATACTAATAAAATGTTCGAGTGACGTCTTCACGCCGACACGGCCATACTGATAGGCAGTGCGCGCTCTGCACTAGCCTTTATCTGAAAAATGTAAGGGTTTTTTTTTTGAGATAGGCATCTGTAACGAATGCCTAACATTACGAAACATTTAACTTAAAGACAGTTATTTCGCTTAAAAAAATCTTATATGTATGCAACTGGATATTGTTACGATGTTAGCGCATCTGCGTTAATGTAGTAAATAGATATAGATAACCCTTTTTCCTAAGTAACGGGTAATTAAAGTTCTGTGCTCTGGGCGGTCTTGTACGCGGTGGTACACAGTGTTTTACATATAGTGCAATTCTTATTTGCCATGTAATTGTTGTTGAAATCTCGCACTTTCTAACAACTTTTATTAATAAGCGACACTGTGCTCTGGGCGGTCTTGTACGCCGTGGTACACAATGTTGCAATGTACTGAATATTTTTATTCTGTCAATGTTGACGTTTTCAACTTATTGAATTACACTGTGCTCTGGGCGGTCTTGTACGCCGTGGTACACAGTGTTTCATTGTTATGGATATTTATGCTCTTTAAATGATTTTGTATTGAATAATGATGTTATGCTGTGTATGATTGAGTAAAGATTGAAAAATTCGACAATGCTCACCATTGTAATGGTAGAGGTGTAGCGGAGAGTGGTGAGCCTATTAGTCTTTATGGCTTCATTTTGGGTCCCGCGAGGTGGAAGGTAACGGCTCAGGAGTATCTGTAGATGGTTGCCAAGCGGAATCTTCTTCAGATGAACACGCCGACATTTCCAATTGTTGTCCAGGTATTGGTGCTATGCGTAGCTGGTCGTGCGCAACTTTGCGTGGTCTCCCTCGGCCAACTACTTTCCTGACAAGGTAGCGGTCATTGTCTAAAACTTTAAATACCTCATATGGCTCGCTGAATTTGAGGTCTAGGCTTGTTTGATTGCGAGGATTGTTTTTTTATCAACACATAATCTCCTTTTTGAAAGGCACGTATACGAGCCTTGTTTTTGTCAAACCGATGTTTTTCTCGCTCACCAGCTGCCAACATTTTCTGATTAACTAATCGTTCCAATTGTTCCATGTTTAAGGTTTCTTCTTCGAGATTAACTAAATTAGAGAGTTCAGGCGGGACACAGTTTTTACGTCGCGTAAGCAGAGTGAGTGGAGCTACACCAGTGGTTTTATGTGGTGTGCAGTTAAGCGGCAGCTGTAAACTATCAAGTGCTGTATGCCAGTTTTCAGTCTTGTAGTTATTAATCATAATCAAGGCGTTCTTAAGCGTGCTTACCACTCTCTCAGCCTGACCATTAGCTCGGCTGACTCCTGGCGATATTGTATGAACGTTTATACCTAATTGGTCGCAGTACTATTTGAACTCTCCGAGAAATTCTCGACACCCGTCAACAATTATTTGGCCCGGTGTTCCAAATATGTACACGGTTCGTTTTAGAGCTGCAAGGGTGCTCTGTGGGTTTCTGTTATTGGAATAATGAAGCAATACGTATTTGCTAAAGGCATCAACGGTTACGATAACATAATCATGGTTAATTGTGGTGCCTAATTTCCCAGTAATATCCATATGTATTACCTCAAATGCAGCAGTAGGTTTACGAATGGGATGAAGTTGCGCTTGCCCAGCTCCAGAAGGTCCCTTCGACGTTCGACATACTACACAATTGTCGACAAATGTTCGGATGGAAGTACTCATTTTATCAAATCAATAGATTCTTTTAGTTTCTGTAATGTTTTTTCCCAACCCGGATGTTTCAAGGAGCTATGATAAGTGTTAATAAGGCTCCATTGAAAAGCTTTTGGTACGACAACCATCTTTTGCTGACCAAATGTAGGATCCATATGAACTTTCATGAGAGTATCGTTTTCTAACGCATAATCGGTCATACGTTCATTTCGTGTCAAAGCATCAATAATGGGACGCAGAGTGCCATCTCTGTATTGCTCTACTTTTAGCCATTCTAAATCACTATACAATCGACCGTTCACGCTTATAACACTTGTCATAGGTATGACCAGTCTTCATACAAAAGGTGCACGTCGGCTTGCTTTGAACTGGGTTTGTAGAGTCGACAGGTCTATTTTGAAAAGAATCTTTAATAAGAGGTAAATTATTCTGGCCAATTTTGAAACGACAATCACGCGCACTGTGATTATTTCTTTTACATATGCGGCACTGAATAGAGGCTAGCAACTCATTAGATCGCGCACGTTTATTTGGAGCTTGTGAAAAATATGAATTAGAATGAGTGCGTTTCGATCATATTGAGGATGCGACCGATATTAACTCTGGTACCGATGTTGCATGTGCATTCATAAGTTCAATTCTGAGACGATCATCATTAATACAACCAATGACAGCCTCGACAGCATCATCGTTACTAAGTTTATCTTTAGTGATACGCCTCCATAAAACCAAAGCCTGCGAAAGAAACTCCGCGATGTCTCTAGTTTGGTCGTAAAAATGCTCACGAAATTTAATAATATCGCGTGAGTACCTATTATCAGGTTAAAAGGTCAAAATAAGATTCTCACGTAAATCCTGCCACGAGGTTGTCGTGATCAACCAACTATCAACCCATAATTGCGCGCGGCCCTTTAACAAGCTCCCTACTTTCATGCGAATTTCGTAATCTTTAAGGCTATAAAAATCAATTGCTTTATCAATATGTTGACACCATTCCCGAATACTTAAATTATTATCCGGATCAAAAGAGGGTAGAAAAATATCGTTTATTTTAAGTTTTTCGCTTTGTTGAGTAGATAAACGGTCCGAAATACTTTTCATAGTTTGTGTCATTTGCATCAAAAACTCTACAGGCAAATCGCTTAAAATTGACCGACTGTTCGCGTTCATTGTATTTTCATCCATTCGAATACCAGGAAGTCCGGCAGAAGTGGGTGGGCATCCCACTTCTGATGAAAGCGCGGAAACCGAAACGTTATTTTTAAGAATAGTGACGTCAGCGTGGCTGACGTCACAACTAATTTCATCGGAGTTCATAATTAATTTAAATTAGTAATAGCCACAACAATCGAACAATTTTATTTATTTTCACAAAACATGAAAGCAACCATTTATCTACACAACTTTAAACAATGGAAAAATCACAACACTTATTATGGCTAATAATCATTATAACTGAAATACAGAATACTTAACTTAAGAATTGAGGTGTGTACACCGGTCCAAGGCTGGAGCGAAAGTGCCAAACCTTCTTTTTCTTAGTTCTTACAAAGCCCACGACTTAGACGACTAGCGCCCTCTGGACGCTATCTCTTAATGTCACGGAAGTTGTGGATTTTGTAGAAACTTAGAAAACAATCGGACACGGTGTATTTGCATGTTCTTTACACGATTAATAATTATTTAAGTAATGAGAATTATAACAATGTTAATTGTTTTTCGAAACCACACATTTAGTTAAGCGGTTTACAATTTTAAAAATAAACTTGCAAGAACATTTTATAATTTATTAAAAAGATTACTCTTGGTGAAAATTAGTCATTTAAATCATAAGTTTTTATTACATTGATAATTATTTATTTGAAATAAGAATAACTTTATCATTTAAAAAGTGAGCGAAGTTCCGACTCACTTTTTAATTACAAGAAACGTTGAAGTGATTATTTTATAAGCAAAACTAATTATTTATCAGATAAACAAAAATGATTGAAAGAGAATACAATTTAAAATTATTATTATAATATTTTATGAAATTAATAAAACGATGATACTAATAAAATGTTCGAGTGACGTCTTCACGCCGACATATATAATAGATTATTTTGACTTCAGGTGGCTTCCGCTCAATGTAACCAGCCCACTGCCATTTCAGCTTACTTGGCCTAACAGCTATGCCTGACAGCAATCTATGGTTCTCTGTCAAATCATCTCATTTAGGATTTTCATCGAAGCGTCAATGATGTTTTAGACGTCATGCGTAACATTATCCCACTCCATGATGTGATCGTCCCGAGCATCATTTGGTCCATTAAACGTACCGCCTTTTTCGTCGTATATGATTTCGTCGGTGATCCCACGGTGGACATTATCAATTTCCAAGGCCTCTTTGATGAACCGGCTATTCCATTTCCTCCTGATAGCTGTATTTTTACTATCCATCGCCGTGCCTCTGAGCAAGATCTAGTACTTAATCTTTCAGCCAATTCTTGTTGCCGTCGGGCGTTACGAAGCCGTATCCGGTCGTGAATAACTCGGCGATATCTTGCAGCAACTCGACATACACTTGTATATTGTCTTTGGAAGTATGCACTATCCTAGTGTTTAACACGCTATTCCTGTACCTCCCTCCCTGCTCGCTTTCTTCGGCCAAACGTACTTGTCGCGGTCCTCCCGTATCTCTGACACAAATGTTGAGCACCCAGCGACCGTTGTGTATTTTGCGGACGATTGCACTCTGTGTAACGTGTTTAAGGTCCGCCCCCCTCAAATATCTCTCAAAGTCGTCGATCAGGCCTTGGTTGTCGTTGTTACCGCTGTCCAATTTAGCCTCAATTTCAACATTCCCGCGCATATTGGCTGATGTGTGGCTCACAGGAGACGGCATTAATTCGGGCTTCGGCTTTGGCTCGAAACTTCGATTTCTTTGATCTTTATGCTCGTCACAGTGTTGCCATTGTCCGGCGGTGCACTTGATCCTTCTGAAGAGCTTTATTGATCCACTAGCAAAGCGTACCAGCAAGCTGAGCGATCTATATTGATCCACTAGCACCCGTTTCTTCTTTTCGCAGCGCGTCTAACGAGGCCTTCTTATGATGAGCGGCGTTCTCCAATCCCACTTCTGTCATCAGTGTGGACACTGTGACACCCGTCATTTTAGTGTTCACTTTATTAATCCCAACAAACGTGCGCGGCGGCTCTCTTGACACCGCTCAAATCCTCACTACAGGCTTGATCACTCGTTGACACGTGCACCAATCCTCCAGTTCCGCGACTGCTGGTGCGGCGCCATCTGGTTCTCACATCAATTTTCCATACGCTTCTACAGGTGCGACGGCCCACACGTAGCCGCACCATTCCTCCGTTTATGCCTTTACACCATTTGCCACCACTTCACCTTTCACTGCACTGTCCATAAACTGTTCACCAATAATCTTCTTTAAACATAATCTAAAGTCAATTTTTCGTTCAAGGTTTCCAATACCGTTACGATCGTAATATACTGGTAATATGTATGTAAACCCCAGTAATAAATAAGTTATTTTCTCATCTTCTTATTTATTTTATCGTATTGTTCAATCCTTTCACCAGGTGTAATCCTCAATGTTTATAATTACTTTGTCACATGCAAACGTCAAAATATTGCTTTTCCTCCAATAAAATCCATAAACATCTTAATAAAAATTTTCAATGGTTGAATGCTTCCGCCCATAACATTGGTAATATAACATTTTTAAGTTCTTCCGTTATTAAACACGCTCTATCGTTATAATTATATTATTTCAATAACTTATAATAATTTTTGACCATATTGTTTTATATCAATTTTATTTTATACATACTTATTACATATTCAAATTGACCTCACCAAAATTATAAAAAACCTGGCTGCTTTAATAATGCTAACTTATCTTCTATTTTTACGATATACTCACTCTTACAACTTAGATTAATCTATTGAAATCTCATATAACGAAATCTTTCAAAAAGTTAAGGCTACAAAGCGTGATGAATAATTTGACATACAAACATACATATGCTCGAAAAACCAATGTGACAATAACTATGTGACAAATGTCGAATAAAGTTATGCTAAAATATTATAAACTTTTCGAAGAAAATCTTTTGTGCGCTAATGATGTACGCGATGTTCGACGTTTCGATCTTCGTAAGTAATTGGTAACGACACGTCAAAGAGCGGTGTGTAGCTCGCATTCCAATTGAAGTTGTCAGCAGCGGAAAGTGTAATATTAACATGTGATAAATTGCGGATCCAATTGAGTAAGCGAGTGATGGAGTTTCATTTCGGTATATTCAATAACTCCTCTTATTTTCCGACGTGAAAAAACATATCAAAACATTCAATGACAATTTTATGCCACTGTTTCGTATTCCTGTGTGCGTATAAAAAGATACCAGTTAATGATTTATTATATATAAATATGAGGAAAATATGAAATTAGCGCACCGAAACTGAGGTTCTCAAATAACACCAATTGGTGTAATTAGATTGCAATTCTATAGACTGCTTTCTCTTTCCGTGTCATACGTTCTTATCACCTGTCACTTTCAATTATATACGTCAACTCATTAAAAGCGGAACAATTTTAAAAGCCGCGCAGGAGGGACATGCGCCATCTTTATTCAAGTTCATTGGACACTAGTAGTGAAAGTTTACAATTAAAATATTTTTGTTTACATTGGTTTGTTCCGTTTTTATTAGGTTGGTTGACATGCGTAAATTAATATATTAATTGAATTCATATTAATAAGGAATTTTTTAGAACTATTTGAATGTTACAAACACTTAAATAAGGCGATGTCGTCATCATCATCATAATTTCAGCCTGCTTGAGTCCACTGCTTTACACTATGCCGATCCACCTGCATACATCAACTTGCCGCACATTTGTACAGGTCGTCACTATATTTGTAGAAACATATGTAAAGAAATAAACGCTCAAACTTTTTAGTGGGGCGTCATCCTACACTACGATGGCCAATAAAACTATTAATTGGTAAAAATTTATTGGTTCTTCGAGCAACTGGACCTGACCATTGTCAGTCTGTTATTAAACCTCTAAGCTGTGTCGGTTACCTTGAGCTTCCTTTTATAGCTTCCTTCTATAAGATTCCTTAATTCCTATAAGATTCCTTATATACCAGTGAAGTACCAAGTCTTAGTTCCGTTGCTCATCATGGGCATACATTGATTGAAGACTTTAGTCTCTCTGACTCCAATCAAATGTGAGTGATGTATTCGCCATTCATATTACAACATAATACAACATCTTCAAATACAGAGGTGATGAGTTTCATGGATATGACATTAACATATCACTTTGTCGCGGCGCTGGAAGTCATCGAATTTGGAAACGAGACATTACTAGATGACCCTCGGAAATATGTTCTTTACTTGACGCAGTTCAAAAAGGACCCGATTCTCCACCCGTATTCAGAAGCTCTGCTGTAACTTTGTCCTAGAGCTTTTCCGTTCTTAAGATGGTCAAGAACCATTCTTATCTCGCTCAGACTGACGTCCGGTTGATCAGACTGATGTTTTCGGAATGGTGTGAGACAAATTTTTCTCTTAGGCCGCTACCCACACGTGTGTGTGGCTCCAGTGAGAAATGAGTACGGCTGTCCGGAGAATCTTTCAACATCTTTAATCATCAATCTTAAAACATCTGGTCTAGTGGAGATGATAACCCCGCTGTCATAATTCAAGTTAGTCAATCGTCTTTTTTCGATAGATAGGTCGATCTCTGGCGAAGACTTTTGAGCCTAGGTTTCACTATGTAACTCCCTCGTTATTCGAGTTGTGATGAAGTTGAATAACGTATTTGTAATACTTTCTTGCCGCATATATGGAGATCTACCTATTGAGCCGCCTGGAGTCTAACCTGTCAGTTAAAGACTGCAGCCACAACTTACGTCTTTTTCCAAGTAGCTTAGAGTGTACCTGGAGAGGTTTTAAGTACTAATTGTGCGGTGGGTTTTATTAAATTTATAATTCATGTCATGGACAGTTTCCTCGAGCTTAAAATTAATATCATCCACCGTGCTTTTCCAGGCATTGGCCATCAAAGAAAACATTTGCGTCTATTTTACTAAAAACTTTGATGTTGCCAATTTAAAAATACTGTTTCCTCTATAAAATTCAAATACAACATGGTTATTTGTCGAGTGAAACTAGTTTGCATCTAAATTATAGTAATTAAAATCGGAAGCACGTGTGTGAGACTGAACGAAAGTAATCCGAAAAATTTAAAAAGTATTAGTCCTCCTGAATAGACATCCAAAACCACATCTTAGGTCTAGCACATAATTAAGCAAAGCTTCCCAATCCTATTATAACTCATAAAAATCTATCGAAATCGATTGATTGAAATAGAAATCATGCGGGAAAAAGCAAATGTTATCCATATAGATTTTAGTTTATGAGACACTAGATTGGCTAGATTTTGTATCACGGGAAGACAAATAATATATCACTACTTAGTATAAAATAAAGTCGTCCCGCTGTCTGTCTGTCCCTATGTATGCTAAGATCTTTTGATGTGATTGTATGATTTAAAACTACGCGACGGATCTTAATGCGGTTTTTTTTTACTAGATAGAGGAAAGTTTATACCCGAGGCGGGTCGCTAGTATATATAAATCGGTTTTTTATTGTTCAAAATTAGTTCTGAACTGATCCACTTCTATTAAGCGATTTCATATCACACAAAAAGTAACAAACAACATCCCCTTCATAGTATTGGTGTTGATATAGGACTCAGCGACTAAGTTGCGTTCAAGGCTCTACAATACGGACTAATGAAGGGTTGTGGTTGCAACTAACTTAAGTCTGTGGGGCCGAGACGTTCCCTCGCTTAGTAACGAATAGCAAGAACTTTATGCAATGTATATAAGACATCTTTGATAGAGTTTATTGGAAGTGAACAGAAAATAACTACAATTTTATTTGTCTGTATACATACTCGAATCAATTAATTCAGAATACATGAAAATTCGTACAAGCAATAAATAAATATTTTAATATGATTAAAGTTTTATTCCGTGTGCAAAATAAATCTTGTAGCTGCACTGCTGTTAGAAGATGGTGATGATACTTTAATTCCTTAGAAAAGGTATATACATTAAGTGTTTTTAATACACATATTAATTTTTTATACTCGAGATTTTGCTTTAAAACGACGAAAAAACTGATAAAAAAGTTATAACGAAGTGACGAAAGAAATATCTACTTGAAAGGTTGTTTATGTATGTAATTATGAACATTGCATACAAGAATTAACTCGAAATTGAACAAACAATTAACTCTCCAGTAAAGGAAAATATTCCGCCTTGCTATTAACCTTTACAACATAACAGTTATTAATTTGTTATTTTAAAATAAACACCTAACGAGCCCTGATAGCTCATTAACCGGGGGCTCTCTTTTAAATCAATATATTCGAGCAACCTGAATTCGACCCCCGGTGCCGGCATCTATGAAATTGTTAATTTTAAGTGATGACTTATCACGTGCCCAGCGGTGAAGAAAAATATCGTGAGGTAACATGCATATTTTCGAAATAATAAAAAAAAATTCGAAGATATGTGAAATCCGCCAATCCGCAGGTCTCATGGTGGACTATGCCCTAATACCCCCTGTACAAAGGTGGCCTTTTTGGCGCGTACACTGTACTGTACACATTTTATAAAAAAGTCAATATTAGTATTTCATAGCATAAATATACATTCATTGATTCATAGTACTCATAAACGTGTGTACGTTTCGCAGGATGTCTCGCAAGTCCCGGCAAGGCTACAGCATCCGTCATCTGCTACAGCTGCCCAACGCGCGCAGCCCCCCCTCCACGCCCCCCCATCCGCCCGCACCCTGCATCAAGGTTAGTTTAATAAATTCTTTGAATAGAAATAACCTTCGTCTGGCTGATTAATATCTGTTCTCTCAATTATAACTTTGAGAGGCTTTTCCATTCGCGGAAGCCCCGCAAAGCGATTAAGGCAAAGTTTTTCTTTGACAAGAAGCCGGTTATATCGGCAGTTTCTAGAAACGATTTCGCGTAACATTGTTTGTGGTAATAACTGATACAATTTAAAGTTCGTTTATTAAATTTATCGAGCGACGTTTCAATTGATCTTTACAATGGTAATTGTTTGGTTATTAGTAGTAGAGAATTTGAACAAAAAGTATTTAGTTCTTTTTTATAGGAAGATTTACGTATGTTTATTTGGATATAAAAAATACATGTCATGATAAGCGATAAGATGGTTTAGAGTTAAAATGACGTAGGTATACGCTTTTAAACTCGATTGAATATAATGGAGGTTGTACAAGTTTACGTAATCATAGTAAATGTGAAAAATGTGAAGTACATTTAAATTGCCTTTCTTTTTGAATGAAATTTGACATGATATTGTGAAATTAAAAAATATTAGTGCTTACATTACCAATTTTTACTAACTTGTTCAATTCAAGTGATCATATGATCCATATGATCACTTGAATAAAATACCTACATGTTATTGTATTTTGATTCTAAATAAACAAGTTTAAAGTCATGTCAGTTTTGTAAACTGTTCTTTTAAACTGAAAGGATATCAGCGTGTGCATCTACATAATGAAATAACCACTGATAAGAAACTATTCTTTGCATAAATGGCATTATTATTTATTCAAGAAGGATCGTCACTGAGCAGCCTTAAGTTTTTTTGTATGATTAACTCTGAATCAGAGCACAATATTGATGAAGATATTGCTCCAGGTGTCTTGGGTTCCATTCCCACATATACCAAAAGATAATTGTTCCGGATCAGAGCGTTTGTTACTAATAGCAGCAGACGTTAGGAAGGCGGTCAATCGTAAAAAGCATAGCCAATATAAATAAGAACATGTTGTATACAGACGGAAGAAAAATAATTAATTTAGAAATTGTGTTGAGAAATTACGACTGCACCAAATTTCGTAAAAAAACAGAGTACCGAGTTACTTTTTATTAGAATTATTTAAATTTTTATTTTTATTGGATTAACGGTTGTGAACATTTATAAATTATACGAATTCTGTTTTGATCTTTCAATAGTTATTAAATTATTTTTCTTATTAATTTAAAATATGTAAATTATGTACTTACAATATTTTTACACGTGTTTTAAATATTTGAGTTCTATAAATTATGTGTTAATCTTTTTTATTGTTTAATAATAATAATAATTTAAATGTATTCATATTAAAATATAATTAAAAGTATTTTGTTATGGTTACATAAAAGCGACATTGGAAAGAATAACTTTTGAAACACTTCTTGAGTCTCTCTCTAAAGAGCCCCTCGCTGAGGGTTGTTCTTGTAAGACTTAGCTCTTACTGATGTTAGCGCCACAGCACAGATGGCGCTGTTTTATAGTTTAAAATATTTATTGTTATTTAATATTATTTAAGCTAATTAATGATTGTAAAGTGAATCAAAATTTTATAAAATATAGTAACTACCATGTAATAAATACAAATTACATAAAATATTACTTATACCATTATCTACTTGAAAAAATTATAATAACAATATTATGAAATTTTTGACGACCCGAATGGCGTAGTCGGTAGTGTACCTGCCTTCTGCGCCAGAGGGTGTGGGTTCGATCCCCACTAGCATTGCTTAGTTTGGGACTAGAGAATGTTGTGTAAAAAGAATGTGTCCTAAATATGAAATAAATTGACATCACTTATATGCTTCCGGGCGTATCTTTTATAGATGTAGTTCAGTAGGTACGTGAGCATCTACTGTTATATATATGCTGACATCAATGGTAGTTGCAATATTAAGCGCTGACTGACTACTAAGTATTTAAGAAAAACCAACAGATGTACATATAAGAAAAATACATTGAAAACTTGTAGTTTCTTAATCTGTGGTCAGTCAGAAATTTAAGTTTATCGTGATTCTATACATATATAAAAATAACAGGATTCTGCGCCGGGAATATCGAAAGTAAAGCAACTTACAATCTATTTGTGAGTAATTTGAGGACTACCCGATAAATTAGAATTTGTTATTTTTGAATATTTTTTCAGTGTTTATTTATTTATTTTTATAAAACGGCATAAGAATTATACATACATTATTTAATTGCAACGACAAAAATGTATTTAAAAGAAATTAATGTATTTATTTTGTATGAATGAGAAAAGAAATGCTCCCCCCAGTTAGTAGGTTAATCGATTGTGTTGTAAAATAGTAAACAGTTCAAATAAGTACTGTAAAAGAGTAAAATCTAAAATTTACGTTAGGTTACTATCATTTATAATTTTTTTTCTGATATTTAAGTTAGTATATACGAATGTTTCTTTAGAAATTGCATAATTCACATTTTGGGTGAAATCCATTGGTCTTCATCTCTACAGTATCTTATATTTTTTTATTTAATTACTGTTCCATGGTTGATTAGCTGTAGGAAACGTTATCAAAAAATTCTTAAACAGTAGTTAATAATTATAAAAACACAATGATATTGCCCAATCCCTCGGAAAAATACCTATTTATTTTCTAAAAATCGTTATTTTTTTGAAACTTTCCTTATTAATTTTGAAAATATTCATAAAAGAAATCGAAACACTTTTTTTTTTTCGGATACTTTAGATATAGTTATTCCTATATCTAAAGTATCCGTTATGGAATAATGACCTCTATTATATATTTAACTTTCCACTTGATTATTTAGCACATCAAAATGTAATTTATTGATATAAACAGAACACCCTAAACGATGTAAAAGGGTTTGTTGCTTTACGTCTATCTATGCATTCATTGTGAGGTCACAGAATTTTCATGGCAAAATCTAAGCGTGCGGGGTGAGAATTTTTGGACGATAAATTCGTCGTTAATCGCGTGAGTGTTAAGTGATTAAGCACACGGCGGGCGGTCGGACGGTCTCTTACCCGATCTGTTAAGCAGTCATGTGGCGGCGGAAAAACAGTGCTGCAATTTGTATGTCGATAATAATATATGAAAACTTTTTGCGACCTTTCACCATAATGGAAGGGGCGCATGCCTAATCGTTTACGAACCTATTTTATTTTTCAATGAGAGTGTCTTCGCTGTTGCACGAATGGGCAGGTCCGTCCGGACTGACTCCTGATCTGAGGAAACGAGTAGCAGCTGCTAAATATGTAGATGAGTAGTTGTGGATGTATTATTGTAGTATTGTAGTAGTTGTATTATTCTTTGTATATTTTCATGAAAAAATATACCGCTACATTATTTTTAAATGAAACTATTTTACGGATTTTAAAAATTTAGAATCTAATTAAACTCAAAATAAGACGTATTAACATAATCCGTAAAATAGTTTCATTTAACAATGTATAACATTCGCGTGAAAACAAGAAATCATTACGGCTAAATTATTTTTATTTTCCTGAGAACTACCAGGAGACAGGTATAGTACGGCTTGCCACGTGTTGAAACTTGTTCTACTCAGTGACATATTTATCCCACTAATTAACATTTTCATCTTGTAGATAGATACCCCTGGCTAAGATGAGTCACTAAACATCCCCCGAAGTATACTGCACTAAATAAAACATATATTTTAAAGTTTGTTGAATTTTGTTTTTGCATTGACAGTAATGTAACATTTTAAAACATTTTGAAAATTTTAAAAATGGTTTCGCTACAACACGTAAAGATAAAAAATACGCATGCTGGAAAGTCAGCAAAAGTTACTCATTTTCAGTAATTTTTAAACTATACCTTTTCTATACATCGATATGAACACGGGTCGTCACTAGTTAACAAAGCAGTGCTCCGTTGATGGTAATATTTCTTTCCTTTGTCGGCGACTGCTCGCGCCTCCGCCTGGCGATTTACTGCCCGCCTCTAATGTACGACGATTGTAACATAACAGCTAATTGTTATTTATTTTGAAGAAGGGTAGGGAAACAGAGAATTAATTATTGATTGTTTCTTCATGTTTTTCGACCTTTTCTATGTAAAGTATCTTCTCTTTAAGTAAGCTATAATAGGTTTGTTCCGTCAAATTGAAAGGTTTTACTACTGAAAAGCAATTACTAAACCGCCGCCCATTGACTTGATTGTATCTGTCGTCCTAATGTTTATAATTAGAAATCAACTCTCCGGTAATTTTTAATATTTTTAAATTTTATGTTAGATCTACCCATGTCTTAAGTCTTAAGGGATCATGATGATTATATTAACACAAATTACCTATCTTTGATTTGTCACGTGTTTTTTTACCTGACAATATACATACATAATTACTGTTGAGCATTTACAAAATAACAACAGTTTTTTCTTCGGACTTCACCGAACCTCGATGGCCCGTAGACGACATGTCACACTAAAGCACGCATGAGTACATGCGCAGCTCTACCCACTGAGGATGGCCTCAAACCCGTGGGTTCTAGCTAGCCCGCCGGCTCTGCTTTCGATGAAGCTTTAATAGTCTAAGGACTGAAACAGTAACATCAGTTATACAAATACAAATATTTATATTATACTTCCGCGTTTAAAAAATACTAAGAACTAGAAGACGCGAAAATAGACATGCCCATGAATATTTCCATGTACTAAAAATACAACTACATCGAGTACAGTGGAGTTATAGAAATTTGAATCGGTCAACAGGCACATTTGACATGTTATTCATTGCTATCAGCCAAGCGCATTATTTCAGAACAAGATTCAGGATATAGAGACAAAGCGTTTGAAGGGCCGATACGGCGTGATTCGCACGCGTTACGAGCGTTTATCGGCAAGTACCCGCGCGGGAACAATAACAAGTACTAAAACGTAACTTATTGCCGAAAGACATATTACTAGCGAGGAACGCGTAATCCAATACGTTGGATTTTTTGACTGAAGACGAAGATGGCACGAAACTCTTCGTTGTATGATAACATTTTTTAACAATATAAGTCCTTTAATATATACTAAAATGCAGTTTCGAGTATATCTCATTAGATAGGACGCAAATACTTAACCAATTATGAATAGTTGTCCATACGTGTGGCACCCTAATCACCCACGTTAATCGACGTACTTTCAAATGTAGAAACATAAAAACATCTTCCAATGCAGCAGTGAAGAGTTTCGGGAATATACCATCATCCTGCTTATACTCGTACCCTTCTGCTTCTTTGGATAGGTTTAGTACTACTGGTGTGTATTCTGTCGGACATCATAGCCTTACTATCCAAAAACATCACTGAAGGGCCTGAACTATCACCAAAATTACGACAGAATTGAAGGTTTTCTTATAGTCGAGATACGTCAGGCTTAAAGGCAGATTATACACATCGGATGATTCAAGATGACTCTTGAAAACAGAACATAGACGCGGCTCAATAGGGATATCGATCTAAAGTTCTTTAAGATAGCATTATCGCCTTTCTTGATGAACAACTCCACGTCACATAACTTTTGCTCCATGCTTCTGGTGTACCACCATCTTGAACGACGAGATTAAAATACTTCTGAAGGACCACGAGCATGAGTTCTCCACCCACTTTCAGAAGCTCGGCTGTATTTCTGTCCTCTCCTGGCGAATGGTTTACGCTGTTCAAGAGCCATTCTAATATCGGACAAGTTTCGCTCTTGGCTCTTTACAGACACGTGTATGTGGCTGCAACGACGATGAGTAAAGCTATATATTTCTGGTTTAGTGGAGATGATAGCCCCGCAGTCAGTCTTCAATTTAGGCAACTGGTTCCGTCCGATAGTCAGAACTCTGACTTCAGAGCCTAGGAGGTTTCTATTGTTCCTTTAATACGAGCTGTATTAATGGTGCGTAAGTCTCGCTCAATACATTTTGAGATGCTCAGAAGCCGCCTGAAATCGGCTTAATAATCTCCATTTATATGGGGCGAGACTTAAGCAAAGCTCAGCTGAAAGATCTCAAAGAATTACAATGAAAACATCGAGGCTTTAAGGAAAGATTTGTTTTAGCCGATATTTCGTGCTTGTTACATTTCGTACTATCTTGTAAGTATATATTAAAATATAAGATGACTCCGTAGCGCAGTTGCCAAGGCATTGGCTTCGGCGTCGGGGGTCGTGGGTTCGATTCCCACGCTGGATAACTATTTGTGTGACCCGCAGATAGTTGTTTCGGATCTGAGTGTTTGTCCGCGTGAAATTTATTTTTGTAAAACATCCTTACAACACAATAATGTTGTCCTACAGGGTAATATTTGTTTTATAAAAAAGAAAAAAAAAGTATTGATAAATGGCAAGCCAAAATTAGGCAAAAAATAGCCCAGCACGGATCTATTAACTCGTCGATTTTTTGTTTAACTACAACCAAATATACAATTATAATAATGAAAGGTTGTCTGAATCTCAAGCTATCGTAATATGAGTTAGAGCCACGCAAAAGCTTTCCGTTCGTATAACAGCAGAAATCGGCAGGCTCTTTTCTATATAATCACCAAATATCAAAAAGCTGTATTTCAACACGAGGATACATCACACACACCAACCATAAAACAACCATAAAACGTAACGTCAACTAGGAATTTTTAAATCCTTTCTTCGCTGTAAGTTAAACATATGTTATATACATGTGTAGTAAACTAAGGGCTGTGGATCTCGTTGCTCAATAAAATAAAATGAATATTTTAATTGTTAATTTTCATTTCAAAACTGACACTCATACATTCAACTTTTGTCAATTTTACTTTGGATATTAGAAAGTTTTCGTTTATTCGCTATCGTGATTTTCTTTTCTCCAGCCCGTTACAGGGGTTTCATCATGTCGCAATGTTCGTTGTATACAGTGCAAAGTTTCTCGGCAACATTTTGCCGCGAGGTTGCTACGATCTCACGAGACGTGACCCTCCACCGCAGCGTGGCAGCATCCTAACGAGTTTTTGAACGCCTCCGACAGCGGACTCATCGTAAAGGGATTCTCACTGTGCAAGTAAATTGGTGACGCGGAAACCGATACGATAAGATGGATTATAAATCATAGTGGAAGCGAATATTAGTGCGTTACTCGTTCCTTGAAGGTTCGTTGAGTTATTTAAGTTTAAAAAGTTAACCTAACTAGTAAGTAATGCAAAATAAAAAAAGTAGAACATTCCTCTTAGCAGCACATTTTAAGAGTTCAGTACCCAAAGGGTAAAACGGGAGCCTATTACGGAGACTCCGCTGTCTGTCTGTCAGTCCATCTGTCCATCTGTCACCAGGCTTTATCTCATGAACCGTTTTAGTAAAAATTAACGTGGCAGTTAAATTTTCACAGATGATGTATTTCTGGTGCCGTCATAACAAAAAAATAAATCGGCTATAATAATAAAAAACAGAATAAATAAATATTTAAGTGGGTCTCCGATACAACAGATATGTTTTTTTTTACCGTTTTTATAGATTGGCCGCAGGTGGCCGCTTTATTTACTAGGATGTGAACCGTTTAATTGATTTTAATACATCTTTTGTTTATTAACGCAAACATATCAACGTTTTTCGTACCATTGGCAAAAGTTCTATGATACATAAACATAATCACGCATGTTCGAATAACGATATCATTGATTGTTTATCAACAACGATGCATTCATTATTAGCGTCGGCGACCGTCTTCAGCTGAAGATCCGGCGATGATCCACGCATTAAGTATTCATCTGGCGACATTAGCTGAGGCCGTTATTAAAACCACCTGTAAATCCCACACTGGCGCGCGGCGACTTGTACACCCACCACACGTATAGAGGGGTGGCGGGAGGGTCCCTTCCGCCCTCTGACTTTTGTGCCCGAATCTCAGCACGTCTTGGACATCGGGGACACGTCTTACGGAATTAATAATAAGCCAAGGAGGCGGGTGCGGTCTGGTCCCGCAATGTGCCGAAATTTCCGACCCTCATTAAGGCTCCTCTGCACTCACCGCGCTCCTCGAACTTCCGACGTTCGCGCTCGCGTTCGGCCATTGTTTATCGGTGTTGCGAACATCTGAGAACGGGCTTTAATGGTCGAATTAAGGACGCCGTAAGCGATTGTAATTTTGGATGTTGCCACGGCGAAGGTGGCTCGCTTGTTCCGCGTTTAATTGTGCCGAAGCTTTCTAGAAACGGAATTTAGTCATTGTTATGGAAACGATCATTACACAGTATGAAGACACAGCAAGAATTGTTTATTAGACCTTCGATTACTATTTTGTATAAATGTCTGTCAATACTAGAAACAAGTACAAGCATCAAGTTGAATCGTCGAAGGGTTGGCTGACATTGTTCTCGCTTCGGGCAAATATTGTTAATATAGTCACAAGTAGTGTTTCACTAACGCTATCAATAATATTGTATTTTAAAGTTTTCACGGCCCGTAGCGGCTTATTTAAAGGTTTAGATACAAGTCTTTCGAAGAGTTTTTATTGTTAAGGTTCTCCTGCAAAGATTACTTACGTCATATTTTAAATGATTATGTTTTGGGTATCTAGTTTATGAACCGATGACGAAAAGTATTTTATAATGAGATGTAAAATAAATTAATCAATTTTACCATAATTCATGAAAACCCGTGACGCTAAGGAGCGGATGTCCTTAACAATTTCACCGGGAGTAGGGTGAAAACATTACGTAAAATCAAAAGTTCATTTCAAATTTCAATTACTCGTTCGTTCGATGCGTGTGCTGCATGCGAGGGTTCTCTAGGAAATGAAACAACGCTTAAATGTGATTTATAGCTGAAAATATTATTCTACGGTGAATAAGACGTTGTTTTATGGAATTAATTTAGAAGCTTCGTAACACGTCCTGCCTATTCATAAGCATGTCTTGTTCCATTTCCGTTGTGGTGAAATCATATAACTGAAATATACAATATTCTATATAAAAGGGCCATTACAGAAAAATAATTTTACTGACAATACTACAATCAGTTTGATTACATTAATTTATATTTAAACTATGATTTAATTAATTTAAGAGAAGATGATATTTTCCTAATTTTCTTTATTATTGTTGTGATCCGAACTTTATCACTGGGTTTTCAATTTCTTACTTTACTAATGACAATAACATTTATTATTTCACGTTTTTTTAAGGTGAATGTTGCTTTCAATAATACTATTTTCATTGCCAGCCACTCGTCCTATTGATTCATTCACCACATAATTATAGCTAATAGTTCAGGTTTTTTTTAGAAACTAAGCATTTGAACTGTACTTAAATCAAATTCGATAGAGACCAATCTATTCAAACATTGATTTTTGACGCAATTCAGAGTCGATTCACCCCTCCCATGAGTATAACTTAATATTACTTTTAGATAGAAATATTCGCATAATGCTAAGATTAGATTTAATAACCAAATAATGGCGCGAGAGATAATAGCTGTATGTTTTATTGATAAATTTTTCCTACAGACTGCGTGCAACCTTTTGTATATGAAAAACGAAACGTTCTATTCTGAGATCTCATATAATTTGTGAAGTTCCTTTTCATAAACTTAATCTCGGCGTATTATCTCGAAGCACCGGAGGCCTCCGAATGGCTGCATAACAAATTTTATCCCGCCGAAAAGGAGCGTCCGTACAAAAACGGGAACAAGAAAGTTGGGCGTTACAGCGGGGCACTCCCGTGAATTTATATCGCTCGAAAACAAGAAAACAAAAGTGGAGTCGCGCCAGAGGTACATTATCTTAACAAAGTACAGCAATTAGGTACACGTTCCACATCTGACTATAATAATTTAAATATGATAAAACAAAGTGAGACGCCGAGGCGTGGAATAAGGCCGGGCGCGCTTAACTTATTTATAAATTCTTGTATTTGTAAGACGTTACCCTAAGA